CATCGGAATCCTGTTTTCTGATTAGTTACAGAGCGTTTTGTCGTACGACGAAAATCGGATGCAGTGTGAATCCAGCAATAGGGTACACTTGTACAGCGTATGCGCACCACATTCGGGCTGCGGTCCACTCGACGCTACAAACGCCTCGAAGCGTTTGAGCGACCAATCAAAACAAAGAATTTTACGAATTGACTAATCAAAGAATGCTTCGAAGCGTTTGTAGCGTCAAGTGGACCGCAGCCTCGAGTACTCTGTGGAAGTGAGAGATTCAATATTCCCTATCTCTCTGGCTGCGTTCCGTTTCACGCATGATGCACATGATGCATCTTTTATCCTTGTTTTTCACCGAATGTTAAACAAGAATAAATGATGCATTATGGGGTGCGTCAACATTCGATGAAGAACAAGGATAAATGATACTCGGAGTTGATAGAGTCGAGTTTTGGAACGCACCCATGCACATCATAGGTCTGTTTTCTGTGGCTGAACTAGTGTACACTTTTGGAACTTAAAGTGAGATAGATGTATGTTTGATAGTTAACGAAAGCGAGAAAGAGAGTTCTAGTGCAGTCTAGTGCAGGAACAGAAAACAGACCACATGCGTGAAACGGAACGCAGCCTCTGCTTCGCATTCATCCCCCACTCCCAAAAAAGGCTGTATTAGCAATATAGTAGTATTACATATATGATTTACAGAACTATTAATTATAATAATAGTGTCAACGTGATTTACAAATTTAGGAAGAAGTAAATTGAGTGACCATGGACGAAGTCGATAATGCTCAAATAATTGTTAGTGAGATGTACACACATGTAATATATCATAAAATAATATTTACATGTAAATTTGTCCAGATACATAAATATTATGTTTTAATGTTTACTTTAAATTTTAATACAAAATTAGACAACATTACGTTGTAAAGTACTGTGTTAATTTATTTAGATCATCTGTAATCGATATTTTAGGAATCATTTGCAAGTTTATTTACATATCTGGTCCAATCTGCACGAATTTGCTTTTAAAACTAATTATACATTTTTTGTATTGAAATTTTTTATTTTTTATTATAATAGATATTAGAAGAAACCAGAGACTGTAATTTTATAATTCTTTTTACTAGCTAATCAACAATCATCTGGTTAACTTTGTGTTTGGCAGGTTATAGCAGATGATGTTTGTAGGAGAGCAGGTATCGCGACAACCTGGATCAATAGCAATAGATTTGGGATACATGCATACAAACATGTGGACAAATATTCACAAGGTTGCCAAATAATATATACATATATGTACAGAAATTATATATTATGGATCTGTATCTCTTAATGCATATATATAAGTTAGGAATTATTTTGCTACATTAAGAATTTATTTTAGACATTAGAAGTCAATTTGCACCATGTGATGCCAGGGTACATTTCCTCCGACCAGAAATCATATTATTCTCACCACTTTTGCGTAAACTCGTTAATGAGAGCAATGGTATCTTTCTATCAATTCAAAAGCTTAAATCTTCCTCTGGCGATATTAGACCAGAGCTTCTCAAACATAGCAAACAATATAGATCTATATTGAGAGCCTGTGTTGAAAATTTACAAGAGATACTACCAAAGGAATCATTATCAGAAGAGAAGACTATGCTAGAAAATTTTCTCACTATATTTTATCAAGTAGAATGCATTTGGCATTTGACAGAAATTCTTTATGTTGACATTGTACCAGGTAAATTGAGTTAAAATGTACAATATAATTTATGAAATAATATAAAAATACAAAAATAGATATAAATTTTTATTTAGGACAGCTCTTTTTGTCTTAAACACAAAAAACTTTTCTAAAAGATTTTGGTGATGTTCACAGGCGATGTTGTGCTACCACAGTTGTTGGAGTGGATCAGCTTTCATTTTCCTTCAAGAGAACTGGCAGCGTCAAAGATTTTGTCTCAGAAAACTATCTGTGCCGATTTAGAGAATATAAATTATTGGGAAGCTGTAATGGGCTGTGCATTCCATGGTAAATTAAATCTAGTTTGCCGTCTTCTGGCATTGCACAGCAAAGCGGATCATTCAGCATTTATTACTGCGGACAATATTATCAGAACAATGCCAGTTTATAATGTATATGGCGGATATTCCGTAAATGAATTTATTATGCGATGGAAACACTGGCAAATGGATCTTTGCTCAAATCTGGAGACCAATTGCTTTGTTATAGATAACAATCTGGAAATGCTTATGAAGGTCAGTAAAGCAATATTAAGTTTCTTTCTTTTTTTTTAACATAAAAGTTAATACTTTTGCTTTGCAGTTGATAGCGGGAGATGAATCGATATTATGGGAATATTCCATGTACACAGAAGCATGGTATGAATTGCTGGCAGCAAAATTATTTTACTCAGCTCCCTGCTGCAAACAGCTGGAACTTTCACGCTATGCGAATAGCGTTGCTGAGAGATGGCAAGCTAATAGGCATTTGGATCGTGTAATCCTTGCTTTAATGGAAAATGATTTGTACCAAGTTATCAAAGAAATACAATATATGAGCGATAATGGCTGGTTTGCGGCTCACCTGATGGATCTATTGTACAAATGTGGAAAATTAAACATTCTCAGCAAAGAAAAGACCAAGTGAGTATAAACCCACTAGGGTTTATATATAATCAGTGTTGGATCTCATCTGGATAAAAATATTTAGATGATCGTCTAGAAATGAAATTTTGATATCATCTTATCTTTATCTAGAATGACATTTAGATAATTTAGTTTACATTTTACATTGCTGAAAATGTGCTGAATATTGAAATATTCCCTTTTATGTAGTTGATGTTCGCAGAAAAATGTTTAGTCTCAAGGAGAAAGTGGGTGCATCCAGTAGTAGATAGGTCTGTTCGCGTTGCTTGCACTTTTTGTATTCGGCACCTTCGCTGTCTCTTTTCAAGGCCAAATATATGTATATCTATATTATTTTAAGTGCAAAAATATTTGGGGATTTGATGCAACACGAACAGACCTTATATAACTACTCACTTGAACTCAAGTGATTTGAGAGTTGATTGTGTATCTTGAAATGAGGAAAAAATTATAAAAGTGAGCAAATTCACTAAATATTGACCAATTAAATTATAACTATTCTAGTGAATTTGCTCACTTTTGCAATTTTTACCTTATTTCGAGATACACAATCGACCCTCTGCTTTTTATTTTTGCGTTAGACGTGCAGAGAGTCGTAGTGCATAGAACTCTCTGTCTCTCTTTCGCCAAATATCAAACATATATATATATATATATATATAAAATACCTACCTCATTTTAAGTTCTAAAAGTGTACACTAATTCAGCCACAGAAAAGGTAAAATAAGTGACAAAATCTTATATTTTTTATTAACTGTGAATAATAATGAAATTAAATTAAAATTAATAAGTTATAGACTTCTTTAATTGATACAAACAATAAAAAAAATTTGTATAAAAGGCTATAGGAGTCACAACCTCTGGCTGTTAAAAATTTCGAGATATACATTTAATTAATAATATATGATTTTGTACGTTTCGACTCCTATTTGAGTCATCTTCAGCGTTACAACCTTTTAATATTACAGCAATTAATATATCGCAGTCAATGTCTTCAAAGTTTTCTCTCCTTTTGTATGTGACCGTTGTGGATAAAAACTCAAGCTAAAATTTAAAAACATCGTTAAAGAAAGTGAATAATATAGAGGACAACAGAAATTGTCTCACCTCACGGAGTCAACAAGTCACATACAAAAAAAGAAAATGAATAATATACAGAACAGAAATAAAAATTGTGCTCACCTCACGGAGTCAACAAGTCATACACAAAGTAATAGTAAATCACACGAGAATTGCAGAACGTCATCGTAAATTAAAATTAAAGACATTTACTGCGATATATTAATTGCTGTAATATTAAGGTTGTTACGCTAAAGATGACTCAAACAGGAATCGAAATCATATGTTATTATTAATTAAATGTACATCTCGAAATTTTTAACAACCAGAAGTTGACTCCTATAGCCTTTTGTATGAATTTTTTTATTATTTGTTGTAACTGTAAGTCTCAAAAATAAAAAAAATTATCTAGAAAATTTCAGATAAATTTTTAGATAAATTTATCTAGATTATCTGGATGAATTTAATTGAATCATCTTTATCTCATCTAAGATAAATTTCCAAATTTTCATCTTATCTTTATCTAGTTAATTTTAAAATCATCTGTGCACAACACTGTATATAATATAGGGTATAATTATAAATTAAAATATCTTGTATCTTATTACAGTGTGACTGCACAGCTTCATGAATCTCTCATATTAGAGTATGGCACCACACTGATGAGTCATCGCTCGTTGTGGCAGTGTGGCGCGAGTTATTTGATACATTGCCTCACACAAGGTTTGGCGAGACTAGAAATTTTGTTGCAGTCGTTACCAACAGGCACAGAGGCAAGAATCAACAAAATTATTGACGTCGCACGAGACAATAATATGCCGCACGTTGGTAAAATTCGATCTTTCTTTCTTTCCACTTCTCTCTTGGCTTAAACAAGATTTACAATAACTAAAAAAAAATTCTTAGTTACTAGTATATGTAAGATCCAAGGGATGAAAAGCATAAGACAAGGGAGATTGGGCAATGCTCTTACATGGGCGCTCAAGGCACATGACGGCAACTTTACCACATACATCGCGGACCAGTTTTTGAAGCATTACGCGGAATACGGAGAATTAGAATGTCGCGATTTGTTAGAGAACTTGGGATCCTGTATGTTGGCTAGCGACAGACTCACATTTTTGGGTAAAGAATTATGTATAATCAACTAAAATAATCATCAATAATTATTTTATATGTAATAACTATCATAATAATTCTATCAATATTTCTATAATACACTATTCAACAAAAAATAAGAAACACTTTCGAACACGCTCAAAATTGCACAACCTTTGAATGACCGTAACTCGGTAAAAAAGGATCGTAGATAAAAAAAATAAAAAAAGCATTTTAAAGCTTGAAATCTCTACATTTGAAATCGGTAATTGATATTTCGATATGACTGATTTTTTGGGGAGTTATACGGATATAAATGGATGTCCGTCAAATCTGAAAATTTTGTGCGAAATTTACAAAGTTCTATGGCGTGAACTAAAAATCGCACACAAATGCAGTTTACAGCATTCGAAAGAGTGAATCTTTACCTTCAATTTGTTTTTTTATCGAACATAATACGATTTTTTTTCACCGAATTATTCAACATTCAATAACTCAGTGAAAAAAAATCGTATTATGTTCGATAAAAAAACAAATTGAAGGTAAAGATTCACTCTTTCGAATGCTGTAAACTGCATTTGTGTGCGATTTTTAGTTCACGCCATAGAACTTTGTAAATTTCGCACAAAATTTTCAGATTTGACGGACATCCATTTATATCCGTATAACTCCCCAAAAAATCAGTCATATCGAAATATCAATTACCGATTTCAAATGTAGAGATTTCAAAGATTTCAAACTTTAAAATGCTTTTTTATTTTTTTATCAACGATGATTTTTCACCGAGTTACGGTCATTCAAAGATTGTGCAATTTTGAACGTGTTCGAAAGTATTCCTTATTTTTTGTTGAGTAGTGTACATAACAATGTAATTTCTTGTAATTATATAAATTATGTAACTAATTGTGCGTGTGTGATTACAGTAATTAATATAAAGTTTTATTATAGGAAAGTATTGCGAGTTTCATCACATGTACGGAATGGACGAATACCGCGAAGCGGCGAGTCTGTTGGTGTCCCTTTTAGTTTCAAATTTGACGCCGAAGTAGTAAGTTGTTGTTCGTTTTAAGAAAATTCATGATTACACAACTTACAATGTAAAATTTTTTCTCAGTTTCTGGTCCATCCTGCTCACGGATGCTATACCGCTGTTAGAAGCGGAAGACGTAATCTTTTCTTCGAATGATTGCTACGAGTTGCTACGTTGCGTGGAGGCACACGGCGACGATCCAAAATTTCAAGACAAGGTTTCCATCTTCCGAATAGGCGTTGCACGAAATCTGGCAAGAGCTTTAAGTCTAGAAGGTTGTCAGATCGAACATTGATTAAATCGCTGTTATACTATCCATTCTCTTTTGTATAAAGTGATATCAGTATCTTTCTTTAATAAATTGTCTATCTCTAATAAATCTCTAATAAATTACATTTTCAAATACACATTTTCTAATTGCGTGATATTTTCCTAATTCACCAAGTCATTTATTTTATACGTACATTTTTCTAATTGCGTGATATTTTTTCTAATTCAAGTTATTTATCTTATAAATATATTGTCCCACAAAAAAAAGAAACTATGCTACACGATAACAAGAAATTTTTTATTCCTACTGACTTATTCATAAAAATGAAAATATTTGCTTTTACCAAATATATCTAAAATAAAAGTTTATAAATAATTAGATGCAAAACAGAAGATAAATCAGAAAAACTTATTTAATTTAATAAATTTTATACATTTTTATAATTATGCTTATGTTTAATATTTTAGTGATAACTTAAGTTTCATTTTTAATTTATGTATAGGGGAGACCGGGGCTAAGAGGGCACCTTTTTTTTTAATTACAATTTTTAATAACAAAGGTGTTTGCAACTTCATTTCATCCATATACACAAAAAATGATGTGAGAAAATAAAATTTTAAGAATACCGGGGCCAAGTGGGCACCCTCCCCCCGGAGCTAAATCCGCACATTTTTTCGATACAATATGAAATAAAAATATGTCATTATGATCAAAAAATCAAAAATTGTATTAAATTTTATTTCGAATCAAACAATGTGTCAAAAGGCTTAATAAAATTAAATAATAATATAAAAGCGGAATTAACGTAAACGGATCGGCGGTTTACCAATCATACAACTGTTTAGATGAAGGCAAATAAAGAAAAATAACAAAACTCGTTTTATGATTGACTGTCCGCCTGATCCGCTTACGCGAATTTCTCTCCATGGGACCAGAGGAACGAAATTTTCGCGCATCAAAAACAGCGGAACGTCCGCGATTGGTCAGATTTTCGATACGCGCGATCCGCGATACGCGCGATACGCTCCATGGGACTGCACCCTTACAGCTCCTAATATGTTCATTGGTTAAGCCGGCGGCACACGATGCTTGTTTTCTTGCTGGATTGCTAGCTAGAATAAATTCTTGCCACCGTATTGGCTACGATGC